ATTGCGACGGGATTATAAATACAATGTGATCATTGGATTTCCCAGCGCATTACAAGAGCAAGTGGGCAGATGACGACAAATTGAATTTGCCTCTGAAATAGCTAACGCGGGTAACAATAGCTGAAGGTGTAGGTTCGAAAGTCCATCCACTAATTTGGGGCGAAGTGACACGTTCCCCCACTTTGATTTCATAACTCGCGTTAGGCAGACACCAAGTCACCTGATCTAGAGGACAGCTACTTACCTAAGCCACCCTACCATGGTATGTACCTACCTTGTACCTGATACTCGCCTTCGGACAACGTACATAATTTTAGTATATATCATCATAAATTCATTGTAACTGTCAATATCACTCCATATTGCGGTGCAAAATCCTATCTATCAACTGTAAAAACTCCCTAACCACATACTCCCGGCTCAAACTAGACGGTCCAGTCACAGTAGGCGCCGTCCAATCGTCTAACACTGTACGGGGCTAACCATCTTTCGGCAGACGCCTCAAAGTGTACCACCAAACGCAGTGTGATAAGGCTTGAGTTCGGGATCGTCAAGAGGATTGACGCGATGGTGATACCCTTATCGACACGGTCAAGGTTGGAGTTTTATTGAATGGCCGTGGAGCGAATACGAGCAAACGTCTCAGCACGCTTCGACGACCACCAATGAATCAACAGAGTTGTATGAGCCCAAATTGTCAGAGTCGACCAAGTCTATGTGGAATAAGCCCTCTGTTCTTGACGTGACTTGTATTAGCCATGTTATAGTTATTGGTAAAAAGCTGCCCCCGGGATAGTTGGAAGAGTAGAAGGGGGGGGGGGGAAGAAAAGGAAAAACACCTTTCCCAGAGACCTTTCGGTAGTAATGGGCTGACAGAGCGGTCAAGCAAGAAAAACGAGATCGGGGGAACTTACCGGTTGTTTTTTTTTTTTTTTTTTTGTCAGCTCATTGAAATGTCATGTGGTCCGATGATTGCTCGTAGATTATAGAACCTCTAGTTCTAACTCGATATCTCCATTGTTAGTCTATCGTAGAGGCCTCAATCAAGCTCCATCTAGACACGTGAGGACATTCATTAAATACCATATCGTATTTCGATATAATTATAATGGCCTTCTTCATATTAGACAGCATAAGTAGCATAGGAAGGTTAGTAAGACGGGTGTCGAAGTGAGCGATTTTGATTTCAAGTTACGAATTCACGAATGTTTCCTTCTGGAGCCGGCGTCATAGAGCGAAATCATATTAAGCCACAAAAACACTTTATGAATGATATTGCATTCCACTAGAATTAAGAGGCATGCCGTATACCGTGGAGTGCATGAGCGCATTGGCCTTCGGTTTCGGCTGATTATGGTCCTATTCTGGTGTCAAGAAATTCAGTCTACGTAGCTACTTGGCGTAAAAATCGGGGACACGAACCAGTTTGGCAGTTGCAATTTTGATAGTGGCAGTGATCTAGGGGAAAGTCTGGCGCAAAACATCAATCATAGCCTGGAGACGAGCTGCAAGATCGTTCTGCAGAGGGTCGAGTCCAGTCGGCGCCGGGAGGGGTCCGCTCTGGACGCTATGAATGCGTCGTTGGTCGGTGTAGGTCCATCTCTTCCTAGTACGGCCGCCGCACATTCGCAACGGGGTTGATGAGGTCGAGGTGCGCGAGCCAACAAGTCGTAACGCTGAGGTAGCACCAGGAGTCTCCTGGAAGTCGAATCTCGTTAGCATATGAAATTTAAAACCCAGTACGCCGTATTCGCGCGAGCCCTCGTTGCAGGCGATTCGGATTTGAAGGACTTACATGAGTCTACGCAGAATCATTGCCTTGGGCATTGGTGTTGTCGCTTTGAGTGGTGTTTGTTTCCATTTTGTGACTCGAGTGAGATGAGTTTCCTTGTAGCAAGTCGTCACTTGAGTGCATTCATGCGATGCAGGATGCAAACGGCGAATAGCTGAGAGGCTTAGACTTTAATTTTCGGTAAAAGGAAATTCATGCCGCTTTGGAATCTCAAAACACCAAAAATTGGAAAGGAGAAGGGACAGCGAACGACGGCCCCACCTCTGTTACCTAGGCGGCGTCAGGTTTGCTGAAAGCCGGGAGCACGTACCTTGGTAGGCTTTAAAACGTTAGTACAGGGTCATAGATGCCTACCTTAGGTAGGTACCTATGTATAGGTTAGGTAGTCAATGAACTTGCCAATCCTCAGCACATACTATACAAAGACAAGAAAGGAATGATAAGATGTAAAAGAGACTACCAAGCTCAAACAGGGCAGCGATACTCGGACATCATAAGACGTCAACTCACCAAGTAAAACTATGGATATGTGATATACATACTGAGTTCTAATTCGCGAATAGGTTCTGTGACCATGTAATTCAATCCAAGGCTGGAATATCCTTCCTATGTACCTAATGCAACTGTAAGTCCTAGTGGTATTATAACGCCTCTATTTCAGCCTTTAGTTTGTCTATTTTCTTCTGAAGGTCTGGAGAGGGATTTGCGACAGCGCTCCTAATGCCATAGAGGGTCATTTGCTTGAGCTCCTTTGCAGTAAGAGGAGTGCGTCTGCGCTTGGGATATCCAGAATGGATGCTCCGTGGCAGCTCTCCCTCTGGCTCGGAATCCGACTGCCCCGCTGCCCAACCCTTCAGGGGTCTTCCAGGCCTTGGAAGCGTTTTTCTCCTCCGAATGATGTTATTCCTTTCTTGTATTTCCTCCCGCGTCAGGGCTGCATTCAATCCATTCCCGGTATTATTTTTCGGTTGCCCCGGCCCACTTGGCGCTGCTCCCCGACGTCTACATCTCTCTCGGATGGCTTCACTTCTTAGAGATACTGGGATGCTTACCAAGGCCGCCGCTACTGGTGTTACTGGCTCTGGTTTATTACCTTCCTCGGTACCGCTCTCATAGCTATCACTACTCTCTTCACTAAAGTGGCTCTTGTCGTCAGAATCAGAGTCAATGGCGCTGTTAGAGGCAAGAACACAGAGGCCGCCTCCCGTGTGCTTATTGCTGTTGGAAGCTGCATCTGAGTCGCTAGTTTCAGGCAAATGCACAGAGCTATCGTCATCGCTTGCACTAGAAGAGTAGTCGCCTTCGTTGCTTTCTTCAGGAAAATTGCCACTACCGCTAAACAGACTGGGGGAGGCACTATCTAAGGCCGAATTCTTAGGTGCTGCTAAGCCAGGTGTATGAACGACGGGGGCGATGGCAATTTTAGAATCAGTTGCGATTGAAGGGTCAACAGCTAGAGCCCCCGGTGTGGAATCGCCGTTTAGCTTAGCACGCTTGCTCTCCTGGAGCTCATCAGGATCGTCGTCTTGGCTTCGCTTAGTACCTTGCGGAACCGTCTCCAAGAGATCGTCAAAGGTCTCGTTGGTGATAGGTTCGTATTGTTCATCGCCGAAGAGGCTATTCGTCGGGTTTGCCTCGTCCTCGGCTTCCCGGGCAAATCTTTGCTGATCCTCCTCCTCGAGCCTCCTGAAATCCTCATCTTCCTCTCCCTCTACCTTCTGCAATTTTTCCTGTAGGCCCTCCAAGTCGTCACGCATAAAGGAGAGCTCTTGATGCATGTCTCTGTACAGACCGGGTGTGTGGGAGAGCGGGGGGCCGATTCCCAGGGGCTGAAAATCCTGTTCGTTTTTGAAGTCGAACATACCGGGTGGGAGACCACCGACTACTTGGAGCGCATCCTCCACTTCGTCACACTGGCGCAGCAAGTCTCGCAGGTTGTCATATAACGCGTCAACTTCAGAAGGCGGGGCCCCTTCGTCTACGTTTCGCCGCTTTTTATTAAACTCATCCACGGAGTGCTTCACAGCAAAGAGTAGATCATCGGCTACATCAAGCTCATGCTGTTTCTGCCCCTGCTGCTCCTCCAAGGACATGTTATCGGCCCATTGATTCGGGGAAGGCACCACAGGAGGCGCTGGATCATCGAAGAGGGTCATTCTCGCAGCTTTTCAGCAAGTCGGCGTGGAAGAAGGAGTAGGTTTCGTCAGCAACTCAGTCGCTTGGGAAAGTACAGAATAAATGTTTGGTAAAGGTACCTAGTTCACTATGATTAGACTAGGGTGCCATTTATCATGAGGTGTCCGATTAATATCAAATGAATCCAAGCGAAACTTGAAATAGGTAGAAGGGGATAAGCACAAAGAAATATTGTTTCCTCATTTTTAAACCCTACCTACCTTTTGGAAACATACAGCTCAGGCAACCAATTGATCGCCCCTATAAAGAAACAAAGAAACACAACGTTTGCGGCGCGATCCACTCAGAGTTGGCTAGACTCATGTGTCTAGGAATGCGAAATCAACACCTTGTAGGAGTTTTATAGGTTACATTAGGTACTTTCACAGACCATTATTTGATGCAAATGTGGTTTCCATTAATGCAGCCTGGAAAATGTTTCTCTCGGGACAAGAGTTTTAGAAAGCAGATGATATCAATCAGGGGTCGCATCACGCACACCAAGAAACAATCAAATCAAACTCCCAAGCTCCTGAGAATTCATCGCATGAGTCAGTCGCCCAGACAGAGTTTGTGAGACTTTTACCATTTATTTGATACGGAACGTTTGGGTTTCTCTAGCTTCGAGTTGACGACGGAGGTGCGAACCACCCGGAGTACTATTACAGATCAGATACCCAGGTGGTTCACAGTCAAAATTCCCAAGATGAATAGCAAGATTTGTGTTTCACCCATTTCGCGTACTAGGTCATTACCTATATTAGTTCAACAGGTAGAAACATTCTCGTTCGATTTCCTGCCCTTCCAATTCTCGTCTCCTTTAGCGCGCCTGCCTTATCGACTGGAATCTCCGCCAGTGGTCCAACAGGAGCATCGGCGAAAGGATCGAATGGGTATCAATGATCATATATCATAAGAAAGTATGGTAATCTAGACATACGGCTAGTGGGGCCAATATTTTTTCATTTTGAGAAATGTAAAATGTCGTGCTAAGCTTCAAAATTTCCACCAATGAAGATGGATTCCTTCAAAAGGGCGTGTAACTCAGTGGTAGAGTGCTCGCTTCGCATCTGGCACGGTGTACTGCGAGAAGTCCAGGGTTCAACTCCCTGCTCGTCCACATATCAGATTTTTGTTGAATGTCTTTTTGACTTAGCTGATGTTTTTCTACTGCTGCTAAGTGGACCACTAGGCCCGTGAGCCCTAAACTAAGTGGTGCTTTACGGAGTAACTATAGCATAAAAAGGAGTTGGTCCATGTGAATGCTCAGGCTCACCGAAATCACAAGATAGCGGAAATCACTCCATAAGTCTATAAACACCCTTATGAATTTATCTTCAAGAGATAACCAAGCACTTTGCGGCATATTCGCTTTTAGTATCTTTTCTTTCAAGCTTCCATATTATATCTCCATTAATACTTAGCATTTGCAAGATCGAAAATCAGTCGGCTTCTGGGTATAATGGTCTTACGGTCTGGTGTCACAATAGGTACCTAGTCTTGTGTTAATTAGAAAAAATATATCCATGGGCTCGCCATGCTTACAGTTCTAATCGGCTAGCACACAGCAGTCAAGGCGCATGGTAACGGCACCGATGACTCAAATTGGTACTCATCACATTTAAACCCGGAAGTATAGCCTTTCTTGGTTGAAAACGGTTACCGCCTGAAGGATAATACAGCTAGCAGCCTTGTAGTGGTTGCGCCTCGCTACAAAGTCGAGTCGGCCACAGCGTATATCAAAATCGACGAAAGCGAAGTAAGCACCTATCATATTGATATCAGTTTGGGGGTTAAAAAGAGATTTGATAATGTACCTAGCATGTGAAAATGTCATCTGTAACACAAGTATGACTAATCCGCCTGCCAAAGGATCAGGCTTCATGACGTAATTGCAAGTATGACTATACAGTATAAGCCCTATATTTACAGGGGTAATCAGCGCTAGCCTCCCTAGGTATATTTCGAACGAGCAGTACCTAGGTAGGTATCTATGGAATAATGTCAACCTTAACTACATACCTGCTTACCTCAGGCGTAGTAGAATTCCCCTTGGCACTTTCTCAGGTGTGATACTCTAAACAATCATGTCCGACACTCCAGATCTCTCTCTACCCGCCAAGGCACCATCGAGAAGGATGACTTTATAGGGCTGGAACCAAGGGCTCTGTACATGCTCGTCGATCTAGCTGACGCAGAGCTCGGAAATCTTGAGCACGAGTGTGAAGTCGAGCTCGTCGTCTTGGATTTGGAGAGGGGCATCAGCGTTCATCTTGCCCCGCTTCCACGTTTCATTGGTCACCGTGATAAGTACACTTCCGTGATGCTATACTCATAGGCCTGTGGGGAGTATGTTTGCTCACTTTATAGGCCTACTCCGCTGCCCATACCGACTAGTAACGACTAAGAGTCATAATATTCATTTAGTTAGAACAAATGAGACTGCTATAAAACCCGCTAGCCTATTGAAGTCATAGAAGGAATGATGTTATTATTACCTGGATAAAGTCCCACCTTGACGTTAAAGACTTCAGTTTCTTCGGGTCAAGTCCCATGTCCTCGTTGTTCCCTGTTAATATAGTGCCCATGATCCGACTTGACTCAACAATTAGTTGTGTACGGGGACGGCGGACATGGTCATAGATTTTTAATGCGGCAATTGCTTCCACGTGGCTCTCTGCATGTCCCAGCAAGGTGGAAAGTATAAGACTATCTTCGATGGACATTCCAGCGCCAGAACCCTGCCACGGCGTGGTCGAGTGGGCAGCATCGCCAGTGATACAGATAGGGCCGGATACCTACCTACCTACCTAAGCTATGCATATTTGGGTGTTCCCAAAGATACACGGTCTTATGCTCCCGTTGACTACAAAGAAGCTTCGTGCTTTGTTAGTATCGCCATATTATGAATGAAGCTCGGGAGAAATATACCTCTGTTATGGCCTTTTAAAGAGGTGGTGGCCAATCTTGAAATAGGTTCTTGATCTCTTTGGCACTCACGATACGCTGTCAACTGTTCGCTAACTCAAGTTCGGTATCCTTGTCGTTGGAAGCAATAGCAAACTGCACCAGCTTGCCGCTGCTAAGGATATTGTGCAGTAGAAATGCGTTCTGACCAGCCCATCCGTATTTACGGGCATCATTGATATCCACAAGCTGCTTGCCCAAGCTTTCCTGGGCTTTGCCGGATGGTTGGAGGGTCATCAGGAACCAGGACCGTTGTTTCTTGGAGAGGATGCCGGGTCCTTCTCACCCAGGATTACCTTCCTGGCGGTGCTATGGATTCCGTCAACACCGACAAGGATATCGCATTCGTGCGTAGTCCCATCAACGAAGTAGAGCGTGATAGGACCAGTTTGGTCAATCCTCTGGAGCTTCTTGGAAACATGCATTCGATCTGGAGGGATTTCGCCTAAGAGTTCTTGGAGTAAAGCAGCGCGATGAACGATGCTAGTGAGTCGCTTTTCTTGAACTATATCATCAACCTCGTCAGCCATACTCCCTGCGCCTTCGCCTTGAGGCAGCATGAACCGAACACCCCTCATAGGTACGGCTCCAGCTCGATCAAGACACCGTGCAGCTGAAGGGCCAATAAGCTAGAGCGCGGCTTGCCCGTTCCGTCCAATCCCAATAGCCATACCGGCCTCCTTGAACGTGGGAGCGGACACAAAAATGTGTACATCTAGGTGAGAAAACTTGAGAAGAGCATGAAGTAGGGAGGCACCCACCAGGCCATCGCCGATGATTGCGTTTCTGATAGAGGGACTCATTGTGCTGGTTTGGTTTCTTGGTTTCTTATGATCCATGGGGTGGTGATCGTGTTAGCACTTACATAACTCCACAGCCCCAAGACAGTAATCAAAGAACTACACCTCTGCAGCGGCAGACCATTGGATATTCCAAGCGACACATAAGACTTGCCCCGCTCTACTCGAGGGAAGAAGATACGTAAGGAAAGGCAGCTGTGTTCGTGTTGGTAACATCCGTTTGAGGGCGGTTGGTAATTGGTAATAGGTCAATAGAGCGGAGTCCAACAGGTGTTTTATTGGGTGTCGTATCCACAGGTACCTCAGGTATCGGGTCTTTTTGTCATATATTCTCAACATATGGTAGTTAGATTATTTTACACCATCAATACTGTGTATCAAGTTTGGGTTTCTAGTAATAAACCTCCACCAAGACTTATAGTGTCAATTCTATTCAACCCCACTAATCGTGCCTGATATGATAAATATCGTCGTTTCTTGGATTATCATTCTCACGATTAAAAAACCGATGCTTGTCAACGTGAGTTTCTAACGACATCAACCATTGTTTAACTTACTAAGCATTAAAAGCAATATATTACAAGACTATCGTAGCCATCAATCAGATTGCCCTGATATTACCTAATATTATAAGCTTCAAGGAGTCCGCAAACTCAATCAGCTCAGTGGTGGGACCTTCTACCAGCCTTTGTTTCGAGCTCGAATAAACCTGGAGCGCCATCCATCTCGCTCATGGGCGTTGAGGATAAGGCCATACGAGCTTGGCTTGTATCACCGTTTGGGACCGGGTGACAGACATCTTCCTCCACAGCCGCCACTTGTTTGTTCCTTCGATATTGTCTCCACGCTAGCCCAGCGACCCCCAGCAGCAAGACCGCAGCGCCAACGCCAATCCCAACTCCTATTGTAGCCCCCATTGATAGGCTTCCGGTGCCTGAGGTTGTAACGTCTGCGTCCGAGGTCGGGGTCGGTGTCGTGGTCGAAGTTGCCTGATCCGATGAGGCGGCAGGAAGCGGCATCATGGCAAAATCGGAGGAGCGAAAAGCGACTCGGATTGAATGTGCGTTCACCCCGCCGGTTTCCAACTTCTGTGTCGTAATGGTGCTTCCGAGGGTATCGGCCATGGTCACGTTGTAGGTTTTAGTTGATCCAATCTCGCGATCCCCGAGGCAGGACCAGAAGCCCCCGTCACATGTAAACCCGCTAATGGACAATGAGTCAGTTAAACCGGGAGAGTAAATATCAGTGAGGAGGGGTTGAGCATAGGTAGGGAGCTTACGTTGGACAGCATGCCCAAACCGTCTCGCCATCGCTGCGCGGCGAGGCATCACATGCGCTCGTGTATCCAAAAGGACAGACCGCAGGTGAGATTGTGGTGGAAAGATTTTGATTAGAATTCCAGCAGTCGGTGTTATATGGGTTTCCGAGTACGACAGCCGTTCCGGTCGACTGACCTAGCGATCCCCATGTCTCGGTTAGGCAAGACTGAGCAATAGATACTATCGTGAACATTGCGAAGGTGTACTGGACTCTATAACATATCAGAAGGAGTTCATGGACGTAGAGGGAGAAGAAATACAACTGGGTGGCTCCCCCAATGAAGGATATCTAGGTACTTGTCAGACTCCACTGCGCCTGATCTGTACCACCTCGCCATAGACATATCGAGGCTAATGCGGATGTAAGCTGAAAAGTTTTCGACTGAATAGGCCAATCAATCAATCCTGTCTTGGCAAGCCTTTCATAATAGTGTGAGCGTCGCTGAGACAGCTTTAGCAACTTCCCACGGCGATGTCCAATTCATTCCCCAAGGCTGACAGCCAAAAGCATCAACCCGAAATCAGTAAGGCGTGTATTTCTGGTCCCCCAAGGCGACTCTGCGTCGTAAGCCTCCCCAAACGATTTGCGTCGATGCAGTCACCAAGGCTCAGCAAGATATAAGATATCCAAGCCTCCGCCTTGATACGCACAGATCCGAGGGGAGTTCTCTTATCAATCCATGAGTCTTTTATTCCTATATCGCTCTACCAAGTATTGTTCTCAACTTGAATTGGGAGCATGCGATGAACACGACTCCAAAGCTAGGTACGCAAGTAATGGAGACGAGCCGGGGTAAGAGGGTCCAAGAAACCAGTCGGTATTATGATGAATAGAAGTAGGCTACTCTAGAACCACATCATGGATATCTGTGTTGGCAGTACAGAGTATACATTTTGTCCGTCTACAATGATAATACAGGCCTATGCACAGACGCGGATATTATGGTGACGGATGGCTCATGTCACACAAGCCATCAGTGGGCTGAAACACGTCAAGGTACCCAGGAATATCTCTATCTATTTTCTATTTTAGA